GCGGGTCCTTAGCCATTTAGATCATAAATAATATCACTCTTGTGTGGAAAAAAAAAGTCACTGCTTTTTCCATCTAGTTGCAATGTTATGTACTTGCAGTGAGATGGAGAGGTGTCTGGGCTGGATGCCCAGATGCTTTTGGATGCTCAGGATGAGTTGATTTAAGACCTGGCATATCAACAACCTCTGATACAGCACAACTGAATGCTAAAGGGAGAGAAGTGCAACTGAAACTTTTTTCTAGTACACCTACTAGAAGAATTTAAATTCAGGTTGTCACATTTAACACCAGTCTCTTAGTTGTTTCTGCTTACTCTGCTTGATTTCACCTCATGGAGTACTTTATGTTCATAGACTGATCTTTTTAGAGGAAATTAAACCAAGGGATGAGCCCCAGCACTGCCCCCAGATGTTGCAACCACTGTTATTTGGTCCCTAGGATCAGGATAGCTCTGCTCAAAAGTAAGCCTCATAAAAAAATACAGAGTAGGTGTCCCACAGTTGTGCTGTATTACCTATTCATATTACAATTACATTACTTCAGAATTAGAGCACTTCCTGCATTGTGTCTGAACAGTATCATTCTTTTGTTACCTGGAATTCTCTCAAGGCTAAAGGATATTTTTTTTGTCTTGACAAACATTCTCCCTTTACATACCAAACATATTTCACAATATGACATGAACCAGATCAGTAATTCTCAAGTTGCCATTGCAGTTACTTTGCAGCTCCGTAAGTACTGGTATGCATATTCACAAATGCTGAAGCTCTTTAGAGTGCATTGAGTTATCACTGTTAAAGAATCTAAGGATATCTGATATTCCAGCATATCTATATCCGTTTATACTGTAAGAGAGAAGTTGTTTAGGAGGAAAAAAATAAAAAAGCTCATTTTTCTATTCATATTATGAGTATCTTGCTCATTGGAATAAATGGAACTGTTTGCTGTGGTTGGGGTGTTTGTATTACTTGACATTCTTCAAGTTTTCTATATCCTTAGCAATCATAATTACAATAGAAGTTTAGGCTGATTTTTTTTTTCGTTCCATCTGTTGAAGGCTTATTTAGTTCTCTTTCTCAAGAGCACAGAAGGTACTAAAATGAATCCGAGGATGTTTACCGCTAGGTTTCTTATGACCCAGGTCATATTGTTGTCTTGAATCAGTTTTCTCTCTCGTCCTCAACTGAAGGCAAAAAATGGCTTAATCTTGTGGGGTTAAATAAAAGAAGGAATGCGGTGCAAGGAAGATTCCTTTTATGCAGGCGTGCAGGGATGACTGAAAGTGCCTGTGGGCATTTGGTCCCCATTGGTTCTCACATTGAATGCAATGATGCCCACAGATAGCCTGTATTGTTGTCAGCTAAATGGGATCATGAGTGTCTGAAAGGTGTTTGAGAATGAACTGAAAATCATTTTCACAAGTGGATGATTACTTCTGCCACATGTTAACTGAACTCTATCAGAATGGCCCAGATTTTTGAGACTGCATTAATTGCTCTTTCAACCTTGACTGAGGTTTCTCTTTAAGAAAGGCCTTTGCTGGACTAAACTGCTACGCTTATTGATTTTTCTTTCTATATTTTTTTCATTGTTTGTGATAAATGAAGCTTTTTACAAGTAGAGAATTTATCATTCAAGATGTAGATAGGTTGCTTCGTTCCTTGGAATAAAAAGGCTCGTCTAAAAATGATCTCTGTAGAAGTAATAAGTCCTTTCTCGTTTCTCCAGCAGTGAATAGCTCCAGTATTCCACACTCAATTATGTTTTTCAGCTTTTCATTAGCGCTGATTTTTTTCATCAGAAAGTAGAACCCTGCACTCTTTCAGTGTGGGCATAGAGCAAATAAGCTGCCATCTTCTTTCCTGTCTACGCCGCCACTTAATTGAAACTGAACGATAATATTTAGTGATGTGGTTTTGAATTTTTTGTAGCACAAGGAAATGCACTTTGAAAAAGATTCAACCCTTACATATTTAAAATGATGGTCAGACTTTGATAAGAAAATGTGTTCTCTTCAGAGATTGTTCTGTTTGATTTTACCTATTCTACTTCCTGAGTAACAAGTGATACTGACAGAGAGAAGTTGGTATAGGAAACACTGTAATCCAAGTGTACTTCGCTGTAGCAACAGTATTAGTTTTTTTCTTTCCCAGAAAATATGAACTTTAAATATTAGACTTTTATTTTCTGTGGAAGTGCAAGTAGTGTGAAGCATAATCAGATAAATCTGTGTCTTACTGCTGATCAGACTGTTATTTTTTGATTTGTGAGTGAGGGAAAAGAAAGAAGGCAATGTTAAATCATGTTCATAAAACAAAAAGTGTAGGATTGTTTTCTACAGCGTAAGTCTTTGGAAGGTGAGTGCATGGTTTGCACACTTGGTAGAATATTAATAGTGTCTGAAAAATGGTTTTAAAATCTTTACATTGGTGTAGCAATTAGTGACTCAACATACACAAATAAGATCCTATTTTCTCTGTGCTGTAGAAAAGCAGATGTAGTGGTCTTAAATTGCTGCTAACTGTGTGAGCAATATGAACATTAAAGTAAGACAACCAAGCATGTACATCCCAACAGTATACTTTCTAATGTGTGCTTATACCATTATAGGTGTTACGTATACATATCTATTACAATATTAATGTTTTGGGTTTGTTTGTTTGTTTTTTTTACAGAATAGAAGTATTTACATATTGCTATGGACATCAGAAAACCAATCCTTTCCAACATCTTGTCAGTTATCTCATTGAAAAAGCTGCAAAACATGGTCTATAGAAAAAAAAAAAAATCAAAATATTTTCTTTTAGTAATAAGCAATTACTATCCTAGAGCTCAGATACAGGAAAATCATCTCCACGTCTTTCTTCTTGGTTTATGGCTTAACTGTAGTAATTAAAAAAATACTTTTGATGGTCCCAACTTTATAACATAAATCGAAGACAGGCAAATTGTAGCAAATTATGTGATTAATTTTTAGGAAAACGGTATTGGCTACTTCTGAGTATCAGCTGCTTCTTGGTGCTGCATGTAGAGACAGACACAGCATCTGAAGAAATCACAGCTGCTGTGTGTTTATTAGTGCCACTGAGGGTGTTTAAAATAATCTGAACAAACAATGCTGTGCATCTTTTGCACTCTTTTTTGGCTGGAGGAAGTGAGCAAGACTGTAGGTGAATATGGATATTCATACAGGTAGAGAAATAGCAAGCTGCAGCTCTGTGTGTTTTTGACCATGAGCCGCTGCTGTGCTGTGTGACATTTAACCGAGACCTGTGAAAGAAGATGCAACTTCTCATCTTAAAACATTCTTAAACTTAGGTATAGGACTTTGTTTACATGTGAATCTGTTAATCTCTTCATTTTCTGGTCTAGTTGTGACACTTAAGTTTAATTCCATGAACTACCTTTCATAGACTTTTCTATACATGAACTGCAGTTTCTACGGATCCTGGATATTGGTGTCCAAATTTAACAGCTTTCTTAGGTCCTTTGTTTCCCATTTATTTCAGTAAAAAAGAGAATCTCAAATAGGATTTAGAAGTTTAGGAATTTGGTTCCTTCTGGGTATAAACCTGAGATTTAAATTAAATATTAGTCTCCTAATATTTCAGGATCTTGTACACTTGAAATGAGCATTGGATATATCCCCTGTAAATGACTGAAACTTTCTTCACCAGAAAATACTGTCTCCGCTAGAGCTGGCATTGGAGAGGAATTAGTAACATAAGGTTATAGCTGTGAGTTAATTAATTAACTTGAGAAACCACCATAGTTAATAAGAAGCATTATGCTGAATGTTCATGTTAAATAAAAGTTTGTTCTTTCTCTGTGGTGTCTAAAGCAGGGAAGATTCTGTTGGATTTATGGCCAGGACAGGCATAAAAAAGGTTTTGCCTGCATCTTACTCATGTGTCTCATGTGAGTGGTTGACTGATCGCTCTGTTTTTTGACACTGAGTTCAATATCTCAAGGCAGCAGAGCTCCAAATGACTTTTGAAAGTAGAGAGCACCAGTCTCTCTCATCTTTCCCAGAAGGTACCCATCCACCCACCAACCATCCCCCCAGCCAGCTCCAATCATGGTCATCATAACTTTTCCATAATACAGGATGTTTGTTGATAACAATATGAGTCTGCCTTTCGCCCACCTAGTTGTACTAAATGCACTTCAGTGAGATTGGCCAGCCTGAAGAGGTGTCTCATATCCTTTAAGCAGCTTGTCTTTGCTACTCCTAGACTTTTTCTAACAAGTTCACTGCCCATCCTTTTCCCCTTGCTTTCATTAATAATAGTGCAACACGACCATAATGGCAGAAAAAAAAAAATGTTATTGTGCTGTGAAACTTGCTGCATCTGCATACTTCCCCTGGCAACAAACAGTATCAGCATATTTGGTTTTATCTTACCACTGTTCAGTGTTCCCGATTGTATTGTTGTAGCCTAAAAATTGCCAAGGTGATGAGAACTGTTTTTTTTTTTTTTTATATCTACAAGTTCTTATAATATGTTTAGGAAATTAGAAGCTTATTCTGGAAAAAATAAGAATCCTGTTCGCTAACATTTTATTTAAGCATTTTCCCAAGCTGACACTGTGACTGGCTTCTCATAGGCTAGAGAAACACTGGGAAATCTATGGAGACTAAGTACCAAAAAACTGCTGGGGAATTTAACTTTTCTAATATTCAGTATTTTGGTGGAACTAAAATTATTCTACTTCAAGGTATTTTTCATAGGCAATTGGTAAAATGTAAGTGATGAGCAGGGTAGTCTTACACAGAAGATCATTTGTTTCTGCATTTTGGTTTTATTATTAAAAGGCTAGTTGTGAGTGAAACAGAAAAAAAATCACAAAAGATCACATTGCTGTCACAGTCGTGTGACAACTATGAGAAGAATCTTGGCAGGTATGGTGAATACACTTGTAAGCATTGCATCCTCCTAATATCATGCTTAGTATTAATAGAAAAAAAAAACTGCTCTCCTTATTATTTCCTTTCCAGATATTTGTATGCTCTAGGACAAAAGGTGTGGAAGCGGTGGAAAAAGCGCTACTTTGTGCTTGTTCAGGTTAGTAGGCTGCCATGAAATTTCATTGCAACGTATTTATTCTCATGTGTATGCTGTCTGGAGCCATTTATAAGTCACTATGTTCATTGCTAATTCCTAGCCTCTTATGAGATACAGGCTTCCTAGAATATATGTATTTTTTTATGCACACATTTGTAGTAAACAGAAATGCCGCTGTGTTTTACATAATATAAAATTTTATTTATATAAATCAGTCCCTACACTGAGAAATATTTCAAGTGAAGCCTAGAAATTTCTGAATAAAATTGTTGCAACCTTAAAATATTCTACCAATGACTTTATATCAACACTCAATTTAACATAAATAGTTATGTTTTTTAAGTGGATTGTACTTACTGTTTTCTGTATTCCATTTCATCAAGAATTTCCTGCATTTAAAATTAATGGTTATACTTACTGGTCATAGAAACTCTAGTGCAGGATTTTTTCTTGGACAAAAAAATGTGCTGGACTGATAGTTCATAACCTTTAGTCCAGACCTTGAGCTGTGTTTTCACATGCTAATGAATGTCAATATTAGCATGAGACTAATACATTAGGATTTTATTTGAGTTGTCAAAATTGAGAAATAAACAACTGAGAATCTTTGGAAAGGTGAATATTTTCTGCTTATACTTGTCTTCAGATGGCAGTTAGAATTTTGATATTCTTTTAGACACTGTTCTTCCACGTGTCCTTTATTTTGCTGTCAGAAGAATGTTTAAGTGTTAGTGTCCCATAACATTATACAAAAGATGATGCCTGTTAACAGGATTGAAGGCTTCTAAGAATGCTTTATAGAAAGCCTGACTCTTTTTTCTATGATTCTGTCAAGTCATAGCCTGCTGGTCTCTTTCCTACTCCTAAATCATGAAGATCTTTAACAAAGTAAAGCTAAAAGCTGAGTGTGTTTGCAACTTATTCTTGTGAAGCTTGATGTTTTTGTGTTCTCCCTGGCTGCAATGGGAATTGGCTTGTATATTGATCGCAGAATCATAGAATCAGAATCATCAGGATTGGAAAAGACCTTTAAGACCATCCCATCCAGCTGTCCACCTATCAGCAATATTTCCCACTAAACCATGTCCCACAGTACAACATCTCAGTGTTTCTTGAGCACCTCTAGCAACAGTGATTCCACCACGCCCTTGAGCAGCCCATTCCAGAGCCTGACCATTCTTCCAGTTTTTCATAATGCCCAACCTGAATCTCCCCTGCCACGACTTGAGGCCATATTGATTTATCATAATTATTTGAGTAATGGTTATAAAGTTTAAGAAGATCATGTGGAAAAGCAGAAAGTAATTTTTGATTCTGATCTTACCAAGATTTTTTGCGTACAGATTTTCTGAGTATAGATGAGAACTTGTTGTGACTTCAGTAAGATTTGCAAAGGCTATTAAGCTCTGTGTATAGGATAGCTGCTAAGGGACAGATGTGAAGACAAAATAACTTTTTGAAGTTATTTTGGAAGGAAAAAAGAAAGACTGGAGTGCTCCCCTATCCTTTACACTCTTATTTCACACTGTTCCTACTTCACATCCTCCCTTTCACAAAAAGAAAGACCTTGTCCTCTCCCTCCAAACCACAGGTGTCACCTGAGTATTAACAAGGCACACACCTAAGAGACCCATGTTTTTGTGTGTGACATGGAGAACATCTAAGTGAATGTTGGCTGTCTTCTACTTCCAATGCTGGAACTGAAGTACTGGAAGAGAAGAATATTACAGGAATTTTCCAACTGTGATGGGATTTGGTCACCTATGTCATTTTAAAGTACCTACCAACCCGATAAGGCTGTATCAAAAGAACCGTGTTAGATCAATATTTACTGTCCAGGCAGATCTGGCTCATTTATATAATCTACACTACGCACACACTGACAATAAGCTGAAGTCAATACATGTGAAATAAACATTCAGTAGTGAATATCAGTCTGTTGTATTGATATATCATAGATTTATTGATGATTCTTCCTCTACATTAGTTTTTAGCTGCTGTTGGTAAATATTAAGGGCAAGAAATTCAGTTGTTAGATGGAAGCTATCAGTATGATTTACTCATGCTTTGCAAAATTAACTCGGGTGTGAAACTAGATGAGTAATGTTGATTTTTCAGGAGAGTGCGTAATGTGCATCTTTGTTGTTTCTATATGTATTAAAAATTAGTAGTGATGTGTGAAAGAACAATTTGATGTTAGAGGAGGGTTACATAGTCTGGAAATAATAACCTCCTCACTGTATTTGCTTTTCTTCCTTTTATTTTCCAGTCATTTCTCTAAATGGCTGTTCATTTTAAACTAGAAAAAGACAGGGATATAACATGGTAGGTAAGAAACTTTAGCTGGATGTGCTGTGTTTTAATTTGCCCACTGATAATGATCTTCCTCCGGTAATACAAACACCAATTAATTTGTCACTTTAATTTCCTTTTTTGTAATATTTGAAAAGTTGTATTCTTAATAGATAATTGTTTTCTAAACAGCCCAGTTATGTGGGCTAGTCCAAGCAGATGAACTCCTGAAATGGGCTGCCCATTTGTCCTGTAGCAGGGACCAGAGGCAGCCTCTTGGTTTGCAGTGAGAGTTCCTTCTGGCACACTGAACGAGTCTTTCTGCACAGAGGGGGCATCCCCTAGCACCACTGCTCAGAAGTCATTTTCGGATTGTTGCCTGTCTCTGTCCATCATGAATGCACAGGTTTGTTGTCAGCTTCCCACTTTGTTATAAATCGGGTAAAACATCTGAAAATTAGGAGTTTCGATTCCTGGAAAATTACGAAATTCAGGTAAATGCAGTTGTAGGAAGTAGATCTCCTCTTCTTTTGTCAAGCATTACTATTTAAGAAGGTGGCTTGATTATGTTTGAAAATGTGTTCTGTATTTTTTGCTACAATTTTGCATATCCATTATCCCATGAAGTACTGATAATAATTGGCTGACTTCTAACGTACAGCTTCATTAACTACTACAAATATACATGCAGCTGGACACAGATCTATTAAAAAAAAATGTTATTTCTGATGGTTCCCCTTGTAATATCTACATGTGGCCACAGTTAACAATAAGGAAGAAAGTTTATGAGGTTCTGGATGTAAGCAGCAGAGGCGAGTTCTGTTTTTCTTTTATTTTGTTGGAATTTTTTTCCCCAGTTTTTTTCTGGAGTTTTTTCTATTTGTTTCTTTGGCTGAGAGACTTTCAGATATCTTGATGAACTGTAAGCTTCTTTGATATCAATATTTCTTAATAAATTGTTTTAAAAAAACACAAATGAAATCTGTTTTTAAAAATAAAATCAACAACATTGTATTCTGTAATACTAAGGTAAAAGATCAGCAGAGGCATATAGCCCGGATTTTTCACAAACTGATCCTCAAATCATGCAGTAGAGAAGAAAATCTGAAAAAATGGGATTCCAGCGCATTTCAGTAGTAACTATGTGCTGGCTGCATTTTTGAAAGCTCAGTGTGTCCATATAATGTGGTTATATACCATATATTGATATTATTAATCTATAATATATATATATTACCAGTTGTTGACAAGAAAATGTGGGTGATGTGTCTGCCAAGTTATTTTATTTGACCAAAAAGGGTAATTTGAAAAAGGGCTTTACTGCAGCGTCAGGAATCAAAAATGAAATCCGTCAGCAAGGGAGGAAGGAGCTGACATGAATGGCAGTGATAGCTGCAGAGTGTTTAGAGGTGTGTGACTACCTAGTGTTCTCTCTGTGATTGTGCATGATATCATTCTTAGGAATATAAACAGGGAAATACCAAGCAGTACTGGAGGTGATAGAGGACCTAAATAGTGACACAGGTTGGGCTGAGCCTGTGTCAAGGTCCTGAAGGCACTAATGACCCCGTGACTTGGGGGCTGCCCCTACCCTGCCCACAGCACAGGCCATCGTAATCAGTTCCCAGGCCACAATGTCAACACCCGGGCATCGTTCCCAAACCCAACAACACCACAGTGGGCCAGTCTCCAGCTCCCCATAACCCCGTACATCCTATCCATGGGCCATGAAGAGGCTACGGCCTGGTCCAGCCTGTACCATCCCTATCCCCAGGCAGCTGACTGGTGCTTAGGGTCCTGGGCTGTCCTGCTGCCTCTCAAGTCCCTGCTGGTCACTGGGCTTGGGTCAGGCCCTGACTGCCAGGCTTTGTCCTGTGACACAATCCTGTTTTCTTTGGGATTCTCTAAATGGATTTTACTAAATAGCTCAAATACTTAAAATGGCACACTATTTTCAGAGGTGCATTATGCAGATAATGATCTCATACCTTCTTATTTTCCATAAATCTTTTTTTAAAGAGTCAAAAGTCCTTCAGTCGGTGGCAGCTGAAGTCAATGGATGTTAAGGTGGATTAGTGTGCGGGCACAGTGCCAACTAATGAAGCAGAAATCAGCTGTTTTATGTCAAAAAGAATCATTCCTGAAGTTGTTGCCAGAGCTATACATCTAGAAAACCGTTAGCTAAGCAGTGAACAACTAAGCAGAGGACGCTCCATCGTCTGTTAGACAAGCTTCTAGCATGACCTTGTATTCTTGCATAATTTTGCAGATCCAAGAGATGATATCATAGTTCAAAACAAGTCACATGGCCAAGCATCCTGCAGTTCCTGGAGACAGGAGTTTCACAGGCCTGTGTAATTTAACTTCCTTTAAGCTTCTAGTGTTCGCAGATTCACAGGCTCTTTTTTTTCTGGTCACCCCTTTTTAGTCTTTCCAGCTCTTCAATGTTGGCAACATTTCAATTTTTTGCCAATGACTGCTTTTCCTCCCCCAGCTGTTAGATTCCTCTCCAAATATTTCCAAACACGTTTTCCTCAGATCTCCTTATTTCTTTCTAATCTGTCTGTGGAGTCTTAAATGTTGAGGTGGAAAATCCTCTTTTTATTGTTTGTTTGTTTTTTGTTTTTTTTTTCTATTGCACTCGATCAGAAGTAACTGATGTTGTTACAGAATACAGTACTGTACACAGTGAGCTGAGCAACCTGGAGATGACAGAGGTTTAGGATGACAGAGGTGCAGAAGATGCAGATATGAGGCTTTACAAAAACAAACTGAAGGTTCAGTATCAAACTGAACAGCATCAAACAAAGACACGTTTGTCTTTCCAGCTGCACTATAAATGTTGTGGCAGTCCTTCTGCAGAAATTATTTTTATATGTAAAATAAAGTTCTTAAAATACAGGACTTTTTTTTTTCTCACACAGTAGAATGAGCGGTTTCTTTAGTACCAAGTATTTTCCCTGGCAGAACCTAGTTTGATTCCTTTCAGTTGTTCACAAAACAAACAGCCTACAATATATTGTATTTCAGAAGGCTGCAAGGAGATGTGTTCATGTTTTTTTTTTTTTCTTCTTTCCATTTGGCAGGAAGGGGAAAAAAAAGTACAAGTATGTTTTATTTCTTTACTGCAACTGAGATCTAATTTAAGCAGTGTATGTTATTGTGAAACATTAGCTCTGAAAAGGAATTGAGCAATTAAGAATTCTTGTCTTATTCAGGTTAGCCAGTACACATTTGCAATGTGCAGTTACAGAGAAAAGAAGTCTGAACCTCAGGAACTGATGCAACTGGAAGGATACACTGTGGATTATACAGCTCCTCACACAGGTATTTTTCATCGTTGTGAAGTATGATATGTTTGTGTGAAACAGCTAAATTGATTTTATTTATTATTATTATTACTAGTTTGATCTAGTGCTGAAAATCACAAAGGTTATTTTTTTTTCTGCACCTAAAGGTTTTAAGATTTTCTAGAGTGAAAAATCTTGAGTTTAGAAAGAAGCTTGCTATCAGAAGAAACACTAGTGTTGCCTGAGACATTATAGGGCTATATAGTGACACAAGGAAAAATGACGAATTCCGGTCAGTCTTTCCTTTTTAACTGTGGTTTTGATTGTAGAATGATATTTTGAAATTATTTGGAAAAGATGATTGATGTCAGTTGCAGAGTAACAAAAAAAATTAAATAAAATTGCAGATAGCAGAAAAAACACCCAAATTTAGTAATATGACAGCAGAAGGAAGTTGAAGTTACTCATGTAAATAAAAGGGATTCTGTTGTACCTAAGCACCAGAGGATTACGAATTTTAAGCGACTTCTAATAAATTGGATATTGGTCTTTGAAAACATTGGCTTAATGTTCAGAATAACTCAAAAGCCTATCAGTGTCCAGAAGATATTTGGGAAATCGATGCAGTGTTACACAAAAAATCCCTGGTGCAACCACATGGAATCTTGCTGTTCTGGTTATGTACTCAAAGAATAAAGTACTTCCATGAATAAAGGTACTAAAGAAGGAACAGAAAGGTTGAGAAAAGGTATGGAATTGCTTCTGTTAAGGAAGAGATAGACTTCCATGTATGAAACTTGTGCCCTGACAGAGAATATGTTGGAGAAATACGAAATAGAATATGATACAGAGAAGATGAGTAAGAAGTAAATTGGAATTGAAATATAAATGGAATAGTGAAAATATTTTCTCTTTTGATAACAATAGTTAATTCTACTTATATGTGTATTACCATTTAATCCCTCTTGTTCTAGATTTTATCTTGTTTCTCAATCATTAATACCTATAAAATGATCTAACACACACCCCCTACACAAACATACACAGAGAAAATTCAGTTAACTCATGCTATAAACCTTGACGGTGATCTAGAAGTAACTCACTATGATTACCTTCCTTCTTTCATGCTTCAGGTCTTCAAGGTGGTCGCATGTTTTTCAATGCTGTTAAAGAAGGAGATACTGTAATATTTGCCAGTGACGATGAGCAAGATAGAATACTCTGGGTTCAAGCAATGTACAGAGCCACAGGTCAATCGTATAAGCCTATTCCTGCAAGTCAAGCTCAGAAGATGAATCCTAAAGGAGGAGATGTCAGTGCAGATATATCCCCACTCTGTAAGTTGCTTTCTTTTTTGTGTGGCTTTGGTTTTGATTTTACTTGTTAAAGTAAGTACGGGCTTCTTCAATGAAGTTTAATTAAGTAGAACTCATTCACTGGGGAAATTTGCCAAGCAATTTGTTGTTATCCAGAAGCTCTTTAACTCAAATTATTGTTACCAGCCAGGGAAATCCTGACTTGGAGGTCATTATTTTTATTATAATCCATGAAAATGCGACAATTAGCTTTGTATTCATTACAGTTGACCCACATATTACCATGGAGATGGTGTTTAGCGTATATTATATTTTTCAGTAGTCAGGCAGTGTAGTGTTGAATAGAAAAACATCAATTTATTCTCAGGATTTTATAGATTTAGATCAAGTTTATCATAGGTTTATATATTAGTTGACTAAAAATTGAAACGTAGGCAGTACATTGTGAGTTGAAAGGCACTAGATGTGCCACTAGATTTTTTATACTTTCCAGTGTAATAATACACTACATATTAAAATTTTAAAAATAAATAAGTCTAGTTTAAGTTTTTCTCATCTTTCTTTCAGAAAAATATTGTTTTAAAGAGAATTAAGGTAGGTAACATATTAACAATAGCTTGAAAATTTTCTCTATTTGAAATTATTATATCATGAAGATATCTGCACCTAGGGAGCATATATAATTTTATTGTTTCAGGGGCTGAAAAGAGCAACTTTTCTATCCTAGAAAACTAAAAAAAAAATCAAGTATTTTTTAATAGTGATTAAATGTTAACAACGTTTGACGTGACTGTATCCAATAATCCTTATACATAAAGTGAAAGAAAGGACGCATTTTTTAGGTTGAAGCTGGTTTGAAGTCTGAAGTCTTTGGCAGGTTGACTCAAAATAGTTGTCCTCTGTGACTCAGTCTCATATTCTTCTATTTGTGCTGTAGACTTTTATCATTACATTACTAGAAGACAGTAAAATGTGCTGTTTACACCAAGCAATGAGCATTCAAAAACCTGACAGAACTGTAAAGAACGTTTAAAAGAGCATGTTTCATCTCACAAAAACACTGGTATCTGTTGAATTTTTAATGTGAGCTGATTGAAATAACCACACATTAAAGATTTTTAAGGTGAAGTACATTGTACAATGTAAGCAACACTGCAAAAGCAAAGATGGGGCAACAGCTGAGAAATGCATCCACTCACCTTCCAATGAACCGACCATAAGCTGCGTACAGGGAGATGACTGTGTTCACCTCCTCATGTTTCTACGTCATGTACATCTGCTGGAGGATTAGCCAAGGAGTTGCTTTTTTTTCTTGGGCACAGTGTTTACATGAAGGTGGTTGCAACTAGGGAACACTGACAAAGAAAGGTATAGAAAGAAACAAGTACAATATCAAGTTTGATATACTAAGATCATTTTTCCAGAGACAAAATTTCTGATCCTGATAAAGATTAAAATGGGCATATTTAGGACTTGCATTCATACAGTTAGAGAAGCTGATGGACTGATGACTGCTGTTAATAGCTTGGTCATAAAGACCAAGTAAGGGGATTATAAAGACCCATAAGGGGATTGTAACATCTTAATGAGGCAGCAGAAAGCCAAACATCATTTTCATCCTACACCACCATGAATTTAGAGTGAAAATATCTACATGAAAGAAAAGAGAGAAAATGGAAAAAGAAGTTAGATGAATAAGCATTTGATTTGCGGTAGATAATTTTCCTCATCTCTCTTTGGGAATAATGTCACTTATCAGAACATCAGAAAATAGATAAAAATTCATCTGAGATTTCAGAAAGACCATTCATACCAGTTGTTATAAAAATGTTGTTTAAATCCCATGTATAAAACATAAAATTTGACTTATTAAGTAGCAAGGAAGTAGTGAAGTCAGTCAAACATAAAGCCATAAATTGGTATCACAAAATATCAAACCAAAGACAGGAGAGTTGAAGAGATTTCCAAATGAAACATCCACCTGAACAAAGGCACATCACTGAGGAAGATTATGTGGACAATTAAATCATCCTTGTTGAGCAGTCAGTGTAATGCAATCAAGAAGATAGAGCAAGCAAATTGTCAAATGAAGAAATGCTTTGAGATTAGTCATGGAAGTATAAACTTGATATTTTCAATCTATTTGAATAAACCAATAACAAGTACCATTACAATTCTCTTTCTTGTTCGATGGTATGGTAACAAATGAGACCCAAAATGATGAATTTCATATTACTTTTAAATTTTATTTTTATCACTCTGAATCTTTGGACTGATTGTATCAAGGACTCTGTGGGAAAAACAGAATATGATGAGTATTAAGGTACTGGTGTCACAATAAGTGCACACAAGAAATACTGTTGCTTAACCTTATGGTGTCATTGCTCAGTTTTTGAATGCTTGGTAGTGTGCTTGTAAAGCAATTCCTGCAAAACAGTTTTGAGCTGTTTCCGTGTGTGTGTTTGGTTTATTCAGTCATTTTAATACAAATATATAAAAGGTATCTTCTCATTTTACAGTTTCCTCATTCGGTTTTGCATCCTTATATTCACTGTATACTTTGCAATTGTAAGAGTGGAATATCTCCATTCTCCCTGCACGTTCCCCACATTTTCCTTCCTGTGCCTGTCCCCCTTGTCTCCAACTACTCCTATCTCCTTTATAGGAATCAGGCTGACACCAGCCTCCACCACTCCTTCATTAGGCAGTCAGTAAGTCAATAAGTCACCTTCATCTTCTCCACTGTGCTACTCAAAAACTTACGAAAATTATCTCGTATCCTCCTAAAGTCTGTCCTTCAGAAAAATGATAGTAATTCATCGCTGTGCTGTCTCCAGCTTCATGCTCCAGTCTTATTTGCCAGTCTGCTTTCTCTTATTCTTCCACTTTTGGTCTGTTATTTTATTGTCTGGTATGTAAATGATAAGGTTCTGGGGGGCAGGGATTCTCGCTTTGGCCTGTGTTTCCAGGCTTGCAGTGCTCACTCTATGGAGTGGCATTTGAAGTAATGTAATGCATGTCTTGCCACTGTCTTTTTCAATGAGCACATGCAACTTCATTCAACCAGTTCCAAGTTTTCCTTTTTACCTTCTTTCCTGCCTGCCTGAATTGGTTCAAACTGGTTCCACAATGCTAAAACTCACTGGGAAGAGGTCACATTTCACAAGGCCAATTCTCTCAGATCACCTTAGAATAGAGTAAATGCTACAGAAAACTCTGTTTGCTTCTGGGCTAGAAGAGGACAGAGATGGTACATGATAATTTGTTTATCAATAGGAACCACTCACCTAGGCATGTGCTATAAGAACATGGAGTTCTTGGTTCTAATTCAGTCCTAATTCTCTCAACTTTATGGACTCAGTGAGGATGTGGTGATTTTTTTTTTAAATCACATTTGTATCTGGTCTAAAAGTGGAATTTTCTTGCAAAGACTGCAAAAGGCATATTCAGGATGCTGTTCTGCTAAACCGAATATGCTTGTCTAAAAGAACAGCTAAGGGTTTGCTGAAAAGTAGACAATAACTTTTGTTAGTTTCTACTGTGGTTTTAACAAAGATATTTGATCTACCTTGATCTACCAAAAAAAAAAAAGAAAAAAAAAAAAAAAAGAAAAAAGAAAGTTAGGTTACTCTGTTTTTTTGGGCTAACAGCTTCCAAACTGTGAAATAAATGCATAGCCTGGATTTTACCATATAACATGGAAGTATCAACCAACACTATGAGTTTGAGTTAGAGGAAACTGAAAGCAGGACAGCAAATTCATCAACAAGAGACGAGAATTAATTGCTAAAAAGCAGAAGTATTACTGTCCCAGAGTTCTCTCCATTTCTCCTTTCTGATATTTCCCAAAACTGAGAGAATGTTCAGAAGATGGAGATGTATTTTTTTCTTATCCTTTCTTGTGTATATCACAAAATAGCATTCTTGACAACTTTTGCCTTTGATCGTAGTCTGAACAGGATATGTGTAGCTCATAGGAATCTGAAAAATCCAGTTATTCTAGCCATTTTTAAATCACATTCCTATAACATTTATTTATTCCTTATAATTATTAAAGCATGTAATCTATTCAAAAATCAATTTTATTTCAAAAAGATTGTGCGTTCTTTTGTATATATATCACAATAGTAAAATAAGATGTAAATATTACATTAGATTTATTTTTCCATTATTTCTTGCTTTCCTCCAGCTAATAAAAGTAAGTTTTAAAATACTTTTTCCATTGTTAGACTAAATTTGGTATCAGACATTCTGTTACTGTTTGACATTGCTATTTGTTCTGTTTAATTCACCAAATGATGGGAATCAGTTGTGGATCTTTCTGTAGAATTACATGTAGCATATAATTTTTAAAAAATAAGTATTTTTGTTTATTTTGCCCAAATTATCTAAGAGAAAATTCTGCTTTCATAAGCCATGTTTATTCAATAGGTTGCCTTATGTATTCAGATCATCTAGATATCAATACCAGAATGCTGTCTTTGGTTTTTTTTTTTCAACATCCAGTCTGATTTCAAAAGATTTAATTTCTTTTCAGCGTTTACAAAAAAAATTCCTTCTGTAAAGGAGAATCTTTTATATATGTGTAGTAAACACAGGAAAAAAAATTGAAGCCATTTAAAATAAGAAAGATTGAGTTGTGTTTGATTTGTGCAGATCGCTGCCAATGGTAAATATGAATCTTTTTTCTTTTCTATGATTTCCCTTCTTTTAAATAATGAATCAATAAATCAGATTACCCATATAAGATGGAAAGCTCGTAAGAAATATGGAAAACAGTCACATATCAGATCTGTGCTGGGAATCTTTTAGGTATATGTGTATCATTTTGGACTCCACAGATATTTTCACATTGTAGTTAAGTACTTTTAGTAATGTAGTTGTGTCAATACCACTTTATCTTCGAATTCAGGTGTTTAATATATTTAAATTGTTCTAATTAAGAGAGAGCACTTCCTGCATCTGTGTCAAAAATATGACCTAAGTCTGTTACTGATGATAGGCTAGTTGGAAATGTTGTTAATCTGTGTAATTGCATAAGCTACCGATCCTTTAACCATTAAAAATACATGCTGTTATTTCGCTGGGATGATAGATTCATACCTTACACCATCAATGTATTGTCATACTGTTTATTTGCAACATTCACCTTGGTGAAATCTGTCACATGGATGTGACTCTTGCTTTGACAATGCAAAGCCAAGTGATATGAATTAGTTTCTGCATCTTTCTAAGATGTGATGCTGCAGATCCTTCAGCTTGAATTAAATAATTCTCCCATCCACAAATACAGCTGAAAGTTGGACTTGACATGGATCAATATAATCTGGGGCTAAATTTCTAAATGTGACTGATTATGTTAGCATCATGCCCACAGATCAATATTGAGTTTTATTATGAACCTGGCTCTATAATTGGGTTTAATCAATAAACTTTTGTCTCCTTTTCTTTAGAAATTTTAGGTTTGTACTATGCAGGTTTTCAAAATTGCATTTAGGATACACTTAGATCTGTACTTTTCTAGTAACGAATATAAAAAGATCTGGGTTTGAATTTAAAGGAACAAAGAACATAGACAATTGAAAGGGGAAGTCAATTTTTAAGTTGATAAGACTGTTCACCCCAATACAGTCTATACAAACCAAGACAGCTAATGTGCTAATACATAACTAGTCCTTTTGGGCACTGTAAGGCTTTTTCTGTCCATACTTGATAGATAATTCACATTGAGGACTTTGACAAAACATAGCTTTAATGAAAGCAATCACTAGAGCTTCTCTTTTGATAAACCCGCGGGGTTTAAAGGCGTTGAAAGATGCAATCTGTGAAGAACAATAAATTTGGGCCTTTGATTGAAGTGCCATTTGGGATGGTATGTTTTCTCAATGTATTTACACAAAAATGCTGCTCCCTTTTTCACTACTCTTTGCTTGAAGGTTGAAGGAGCTCTTTGCCATTACTACATTAAGGTTTGTCTCATTAAAAGCCGAGTACAAAAAGAAGGCTGGAAATGACCTAGCTCAAGTCAGTGTGTTCATTTCTGCTCCAGTTTGCCATTTGAGAAGTAGGCTTCAAGCCATGTTGAATATTTCTATGAGTGCTACTCTGATCTGCAGTAAATTTGTTCTTTCTCATCTCTAGAAATAAATGCATAAACTTTTTTTTTTTTTTCTTTTAATGGAGGGAAGGATATTCGGCAATTTTGCTAGAATTAGAAAGGGCCACACAAGCGCAAGAAATTACAGGACACATTTTTTTATGCTCATAAAATTGTTTTGTAAATCGTGGCATTTGCAGAGCTCCACTAAAAGAACATTTTTGCCAAATTGTTTTAGTGTACAAGCTCTTATAATAGTAGAAGAGTAATTAATACTATGTGTCAGATTAAAAAACAGGATTCTGTAAGAAGTAAGTTGCAAACAGCTGCCTATGTAACTTGTTTCTTTGCAGTTTTTTCAAGATTATATACTCAGTATTATACACCATGTTACATTTGCATTTGTAAATCTGCACGCACACTAACATATACCCCTCTGCACATTCTCTCCTTTGTATGGACAGATACAGACCGTGGTCAGAAACATGGCATGGAAGAGTTTATTTCTGCTAATCCCTGCAAATTTGACCATGCTTTCCTCTTTCAACTGCTTCAGAGGCAGACCTTGGATCACAGATTGAATGACTCCTATTCTTGTTTGGTGAGTATAGACTAGAAGATAGCTATAAAGAAGTGAGAAATAGTTGTTATAAAGTAGTCCTTTCTTCTTTGTTCATTCAATACCTGTGGTTGTAGTTGGAATAAAGGGTCCAATCGATTGCTTTCAGATTTGAAAATTATACACTTGCAAACTGCTGCTGTGCCACTCAATAGAAAGCAGAGACCCAAACTGTCTCTGATTTTATCAGCTGAAATTTATCATGTCGTCTGTGGAGGTCTGAATAAAAACAGAAGCTTTTAATGACGGTCACAGCCCCTGCAGCAGGATTTGCTGACACCTGTGCAGGCATTTTAAGGTACTAATGCGGTTACCTCGTGACAGACGTTTTCGTCCACCTTGTCATTCTTCATTGTGCTAGGGTGTGAAGAAGAGAAAACACCAAAAGAAAGGAAGCAGAACCTTTGGCAATCAGTACAGATATGTGGACAAGTGTGTGTTACCTGAGTCGCCCCTAAAAAATTGTAATTATTGAACAAAATAGTGTGGAATACGTAATTATTGAACAAAAACAAGTAAAGAAGAATCTCTGTACCAAAATGAACATTTTTTCACATTCAAAGTCACCCGTAAGAGAGAAGATACAGATGTAGCATGTTTCTGAATTTATAGCTGCAGTTTCCCTTCACTTTGAAGCACTTTCTGTTTTGTGGGGTTAGGAGTTGAGGACAGAGCTGTTCCTGGTTTCATGCTCAGCCGGGAAAAACAGCAGCAATTTTATGGGCGTCTGTCATGTTACACACACATTTGTTACATGTCTTCATTTGACCTTCTAACTTCTGGAGGCTTTGTTTGTCACCAGGTGCAGTCTGATATCCTGATCTCTTACTGAGGACCTAAAATGTTTCATAACGTTTTTTGTTTTTTTTTTCACTTTACCATCCCAACAGAAACAAAAAAAAAACTTTATCCCTTTTACTTATATTCTTCTGTCTTGTCATGTATTATAAAGATAATGATGGGTTTTTTAGATTTGTTTTCAAGTGTAAAAAGGAAAAAAAAAGATTATTTGATGACAGTTATTTCCTTTTTAAAACACTGCCAGATAAGTATGTATAGAAAAAGTTAAAGGACTCATTTTCTGTCTGTGGGTTGCACACTGAATCAAAGAAGAGGCCTGAAGGTACATCTGTACAAAGTAATTGGCACTCAAAGAGAAAATGGTTAGCTTTCTAACAGTGCATTGGGGTCAAAATCTTTTTTTATAATAATAATATAGTAAGACACTTAATATAACCTTGAAATCAGGAACTTTTAGAAGAGGTTATATGAAATACGCAGTGCTATAGCAACCATAAAGCAGATGCATTTCTTATTGTTCATTTTTAAATTCGGCTTTTAATGAATAGAATGGGTGATCATTTTTTTGTTAAATTGCACATTTAACTATATCTTTTTAAATTATAAAATCGAGAATGTTAAGGTAGCGATAGAATGTTTGAACATAGAAGTCTGGTGATTTTTTCCTGGATGGCTCATTTCTTTTCATTTTTAGACATCGTGTGTGCTTTTATTGCAAGAAAGTATGGAGCAATCACACATGCAATTCCTAAAAATAAATGATAGAAATGTTTAAAATGAATATTAAGCCCTATATTAAACTGTGAGCTGACCTAAACTTCTTTAATTTTATATTCTTCTAGGTAGTGGGGAGCTAAGAGGGTTTTTTTCTGCCTACTCTTTTGGAATGATACAATAAATAAAAAGCACACAGTTATCTAATAACTGAAGCATATAATTACGAGTTTGTGACTGCTTCATGTGGTGTGGGGCTGGACAAGGGCAAGGAAGGTCCATATTACTATGAAAATGAACACATTAAAGCAGCTCTCATAAAGAATCTGAAGTTAATAAGTTCTTGAAATATTTGTGTCCCAGTCAGAATTTTCTGCTATGAGAGCACAAGAAATTTAACAAAGAACCATTTGCTTTTGAATTGTCAGAAGTTGGCATCTATGTAGCATTGTGTCATGTTTTGCATTAAGATTTGGTGAGAGATCAGCAGATGGCAGAATATCAATCACAGTTACCTCTATTTACTGTATGTAGGGATAAGACATATTACTACAGAAATTCAGTTAAAATCCCCTTTCTTCTTTCAGCAGAATACCATTATTTTCCAGTGAACATACATGTAAATTACATAAGCCATTGCTACATGAGTAGATTAGTTTAAAATACTGAATACTGCTGTGGGTGCTGTAATTAAGCTACATGTTCTCTCTAGAAACAGCTGAAGCTCTTTAAAGGCAATGGACAAATTGACTTTAATTATGTGACTCGGGAGGAAACAGCTTTCTGAAGTAGGATTGAGATGTTCTGGTTTCCAATAGTGTGTTTAATTCAGGAGTTGTGAGAGAATATAAAATTTAGAGTTCATTCTCATGCAACTCCTTTAGTGAAGTTACAGTGCAGACGGTCTTAACTTGATGCAAGTGTATTTTAAATATAGTTTCCTGTGGTATTTTTGCTGATATTTTCTATAAAAATTAAACATAAAGAGTTTACAGAAGTATTCACAAGCAGTAGAGAGATATGGTCTTCATCTCCTAAATTGGTGTCATAAATTTATGACTTGCAAAATTGTTTTGCTTATCTAAGTCATTTGTACATTTGAGTTTAGATGTTCCTCTGTCTTCAATCATTTGGAAAGGATGATAAGATAGAACTGGCACCACAATTAAGAAAAGAGCAGAGAAAAACAGCTGTTTAAGATGACTGTGCAGTGGCTATGGTTTTCCTAGCTTTATGTTTTTCTCCTTGCTGCTTCTTGGAAGATCACTATTGCATCTTTTCTCATATTGGAAGGCAAAGCAGTCAAGGCTCTTCTGTATTCCATTTCCACAAGATGAATCTTTTTTTTACACTCTATATTTATTCCCTCAATACCTGTTTTAGTGAAGCAAAAGTGCCTGTACATTGTTCATGTGTGTGCTAGGGTCATACTGTACCAAGCCTGTGCCCAAATTATCCTTCTGTCAAAATAGGAGCCCTGCTCCAAAAGTAATACCTCCTATTTTGTTATGTTGGCCCACGACTTCAGAGGCAGATGTTGGTGATATGGTAGTAGAGATTGAAGCTTCCCACCAGTATTCCATTACATTGTGTTGCCATGCAATAGATGGCAGCAAAAGGGCAGTCTGACAAATGGCGTCTGACATAGAACATGTGAAGCAAGGGTGTGGAGGCAGTGACATAAATGGCAAGACATGTTCTGAGCAGCCATGCAGATTTTTAGGAGTGCAGGATGTAGACTCTTGTTCACTGCTGGTGAAAATGCACAGCTAATGGTGGTGAATGTTGAAAAATAGTGCTTAGTAGCTGAGAATTTGCTCTATCAAATAGTGTTATTGTACTCCTTGTTTCTGTTGTCATTTCCATGGAAATAAATAGGAGGCATTATTTTCAGAGCAACCTGTATAGTTCCCCAGCATATCTAATTACCATTTATTATTGGTATATTAATAATATTTCTCTTAATAAAATCTCTTTCAATAAACTACCTGGCTTTGCATTTTTTATACTGATTGTTTAAAAGCTCTTAAAAGTACATGCATGTTCTCTAAGGAATGAGGAAAATGGTCAAACTGTATTTTTTCACTCAGATTAAAGTTACAGCCATAGGGAACCGATTGTCCAGAAACTGTATTTTAATCAGTGATATTACTGTATCTCACCATTACCCAAATGTTCTCACACAGCTTACAATTTAATAAAACCGATTATTTTATAGAGTTAATTAATTTTGTATCAGGTAGAAAGGTTTTGATATAATCAAATCCACACCAGACTATAAATGCGTTTATCTTGTTTTTGTTAACTATGCATTTCCTGGTGATGATAACTCAGAACAGCAAGTGGTTTCCTGACAGTTAGTCCTTTCAGCAAGAGCCTTATTGTTGGATCCAGCTTCCAGTGCTATAAACATTAGTCAGCTATAAATCATTCTACTATAAAAATTCTGTGTAACGCACACAAAAATACGTTTTTCTGTTCTGTGTTTGATTTAAAAGCTGTGAGTGGGAAAACAAATCTCAACGTGTGTGGTTTTTCTTTTTGCCTTTTTCTTTCAGGGTTGGTTTAGCCCAGGCCAGGTCTTCGTATTAGATGAATACTGTGCTCGCTATGGAGTGAGAGGTTGTCACCGCCATCTTTGCTATCTTAATGAGTTGATTGAACATTCAGAAAGTGGTTCTGTCATTGATCCAACCTTACTCCACTACAGCTTTGCATTTTGTGCTTCTCATGTCCATGGCAACAGGTAATTTAATGTTGCATTTTTAAATTAGTAACCTTAGAATGAAGCAAGTTATTTCTAGACTCCTTCCGCAGATAGAAATGTTGCACGCATCAGAAATTGGTTCATGAAAGTTTTGTCAGACCTTTCTATATGGATTATATTTAAAAAATAATAATAAATCTTTCAATTTAGACTTCATTAATGTAGTGTGCTTTCTTAGGCATTGTATAGACTTCTCAAGATAACCATCCTGCATTCTGTTTGTATTGTGTTAGTGAATGGTGTTTCCAGTGAATATTTTGAACAATATTGAAGTTTAAGGGAAGCTTTGACAGCTCTTCTACAGGCTGTAGCTTGGCAACTAATCATACAGTACTGAGTTCTTCAGGCTGTGCTACCACAAGGAGAAAAAATGCATAGTTGGAATGGTGGTGTAACCCCATACTCAGGGAGGTAGGATAATTCTGTAATTCTTTCCACTCAAGGAAAAGCCTGTTTCACTAGTCACAGTGATGCTCATGTGATTATGTCTTCCTTCTTCTTGTGAGTGAAAGACTTGTCAAAAATAGAGTTGTTGATTTTCTGTGCTAAGTGTTAGAACTACACATTCATTAAAAGAAGTCTGTGCCCCTTCTGTGCCTTATGGCACATTTTGAAGGACCAGCTCTGATCTTGGACAGAGATAGGAGATAGGATCTTAGGATGACTTGGTGGAATGGACCCAGGAGGTGTCCAGCCCAACCTCCTGTCAAAGCAAGGTTGCAAGGTCGGATCAGGTTGCTCAGGGTGTGACCCAGTCAGAGCTTTACCCGGTCTGAACTTGTCTTATTTCAACTTGTTACATTCGTTGTCTCTCATCCTCCCATCTTGCACCACGGGAAAATAATCTGGCTCCATTTTTGTGGCAGCCCCCCAGTAGCTGCTGCAGAAGCCGTTCGATCCCCTTGAATGCCACTTACTCTCCAGGCTGAACAAGCCCAGCTTGCCCAGGCCCTTTCACAGAGCGAGTGCTCCTGCCCTTGACTGATGTGATGGCCTCCACTGCGCTCACTCCAGTTTATCCATGTCCTCCTTGTACTAAAGTGGAGGATGGAACAGACAATATATCAAGTTACAAGGTGACATGCATTTGCAGCCTGCTGTGTACACTAAGTCAGTAGAGTGCTGTAAAAAATATGATTTAAAGTTCAATAATTCAAAAAATAATTGATCTCTCCCCTCTCAACTGATCCAGTCCTGCCACAGTGGAAAAACCTGTTTGCAGTCATGAAATGAGGTTTCTGTGATGCTCTGAGTAAATCCCTAAAATTGAATCCTGGTAGGGATGAGAGAAAAGAAAGGTTTTATTCCCAACTTGTTTGCTTATCTTGTCTTACAACCAGTCAGTCATTGTGGCTGCTTTTCTCACCCTTGAGCCAGTGAAGTCCTGTTGGCTTAGACAGTGCCTTCCACCTGTGAGAATAGGAGCTGAGTGTTTGTGGTCTGAGTGATTTGGCAGATAGCTTAATGTTATATAATCACTGATTATAATATCCAAAATTAAAATAAGTTCTAATATGTGTAAAATATTCTCAAGAATCTTGACATTCATACTGGTAAGCTAGGAGAATTTCTGGCTTTTATTTGGTAATATATTCTCCATAAAAGCCTGCTTCTATTGTCAGTTCCTGAAGAACCTGATATATTTGCATTTCCTATTCAGTCTGTCTTTGTTGTTTCTAGCCCTTTTATTACTGATTCCAGCCTAACAAGACAAATATACTGTGATAATTGCTCAAACTTATTTCAAGAATTCAAAAGGAAGGTAGATATATTTCTTTTTATTTCATAATTTAAGTGAAGGACAGCAGTGCGTGCAGTGCATGAAAATATCTCAGGGAGCACATCATTTACACAGTGGTAAGCACTCTGTTTGTATTCTGTCTATTCCTTCTGTACAGATATTCTCTGAATAGCATTATGAGTGTTTTAGGAATAAAAGAAGCGTTGAACAGAGAGGGTCTAACTAGAACTGAGATATTGTAAAAAGGAGGAGAAAAGAAACATGAAGAAAGAAGAAAAGTAAGTCAAGGACAGAAGCAGACACACTGAGGATGACAGACACATATATACACATAATACATCCACTCATTCATCTGCTGCAGCACTAAGAAATAGTAAAAGGGAAAAAGAATTTCACAGACAATGCATGACAGGCCAAAGTTCTAGGCTGATCCATGGCGTTATACATCTTAGTTTTCTAAGTCAGGCTGAGAATTAGAAGGACAACATAACAAAGAGCTTTGTACTCTGGACATGATGTATTCAATTTATTCTTCCCATTTGCTTCATAGAGGGATCTTAGACCTTCCATAAGCCTGAGAAAGATCATCAAAGGTGATCATGAAGATGATCATGACGGAGGAGCATATAGACATGAAGTTGTATCTGCAGTTCAAATTACCAATTTCTTTCAGACATGAATTTTATAGTAAGGGTCACTCTATTGACATTGGTCAAATAATCAGACAGGGGTGTCACTCACCTTTCTGATTTCTGGTAATCTCAGGAGTCTGAGAAACTCAGGCACAAGTCACAGCAGACCTGCAAAGTATCCTGGGGCTATACAAGGACGTAGCAGAGCTCACCAATGGCTGCATTCAATTTCTTAAATTAAAATGATGAGGAAGCAGTCTCATAGGATGTACCCCGGATGTCCACTCTCCAGGATCCCAGCTGTGTGCTAAATACAGCTCCTGGTAGGTGCTGCCAACAAGGCTGAATCAGCTTGGGTTCTTTCTACTCTTCATATTTCTCCAAAGTTCTTCTGGCAGACTGGGGACCTGCAGGTATTCCCCATGCTCTTTTGCCACACCTTTGGGCTTGAAATATAAAGTCTTTCATGCTGCAGACTGTAACACAATAGCCATGCTTTTATTTCAAAACATCTGGAATAAGTACATTAAAGGAGGTCATTGTGGAGCTTCAGGGGCTACACCAAACACAGTGGAGCCCTGAGCTGAGCTCTGGTCGAGCTCTGCTGTGTGCAGCAGACCTGGCCTCAACTCTCAGACCACGAAATAGTGGGGACTCTTTTTTTTCCTACCTGTAACAAAGACACACTTCACAAGTTTTGACAAAGTTAGCAAGCATGCTGGTAGTTAATGCGTCTCTTTGCCATTGTTGCTGATTTACAAACAGAATTGTTGGCACAGGGTTGATCACAAACTGCTAAGACACAGACTGAGAAATTCAAGCCTCCTTTGTGCCTTCTCTTTCTTGCTAGGAAGAACATTATGACCAAGCTAACAGACTGCTTACTAAGAAATGGCATTTCTGCTTTTGTGTATTGACATTCTTAAGACATTCTCAAATATCCGAACAGAAAAATCATTTTCTGAAAGAGTGGCCTTGCTGAGTGTTTAAATAAAAATATGTCCTTGTTTCTGAATCAACAGATTCCTTTTCCTCTAGTGCCTCTATATAAATGCTTTGTAACTTTATAATAGCATCTCCTTTGGTTCTTCTTTGCAACATTTTTCTTCTGAAATATTCCATTGTAATGGTCCCCATCAAAGTCATTAGTTTACAGATGAACTTTTCCCTCTTCAGCAATGCATACAGTGAACTTGTGTATCTCTGGTGAAAGTGAAATGGGCAGAACAAGGAACTATAGGGTATTCCCCAAGACTGGCATTTCAGTCTAAACAGTCCAGGCAGGAGCTATTGTTTTCTTCCTCATCACCTTCACTTTTGTCTACTTTTCATGCTGTGACTTCTATTCAGTCCCTCTTGTCTGAAATGGATGCTGTTGGGTAACGCATGAAGTGTAAAGTGACTTCTTTCCACCTGCTGAGTTACAGACTGAATTGAAAAAATCAGAATTCAAGCATATTCCCTCATTATACCTTTTTCTATTCAGGAAGCAGGCTGGTTTATTGGAAGTCCACGTATGAGAAGTGAAGGTGAAAGCAATGCTCTAAAAATCTGTCTATAACTGAAGATAAATGCTTTCTCTCTGTCTTCATTTTGAAATATTCAGCACACGTGTTTGAACAGAACAGTCGTACTGAGTCAGGGTTCCTCTAAGCCAGTCAGTCACCAGCCTAAAACATTAACCTGGTTGCAGGAAGAGAAGAGCAAGCATATACAATATTTCCTTTCAGTGCTTTTTCAGTCTCCAGCTGTTTACTGCTCAGAATACACCCGTTCAGTAGCCTGGTGAGAGTTTCTGTTCAGGTACTTGTCCATTGCACCCCTGAACTTGTGTAACCCCTTTGCATCCTCAGCACCTTTGGCAGCAAGTTCCTCAGCTCAGCTTCCTTTTGCATGAAGAACTCTTGTTTTGTTCTTGACTCTTACAGATCTCATTTCAATCTCTGTGGTAACTGCAATAGGTCAAGAGCGACAAAAAATACTTCTCTGTTGTCTCTTTGCTGCTTAAGGTTCAAGAATTATGAGAGAACTATGCACTGATTACAGTGGGATGGCTATTTTCTGCTGATTTCCTATGCTTTTCTCATAATTCTCAATGTTGGTTTGTTTTTTGGCTGTCACCAGAAATGGTTTCATGATATTATCCATCATACCACCAAGTCCTCTGCAATGAATGATTTCATAAAGTACTTCTGGAATTCCATGCTATGCCAGATAACTATCCTTGTAATTACTGTCACCTTACTTCTTAGCTACTTGCCAGATCATTTATAAGTACTGTAAAATAACACAGGTTTCAGCACAGATCCTTGCAGAACTCCACTGATAACATCCCTCCACTGCAGGTATTCACTGTTTGCTCCTACTCTTTTTTTCACTGTAAAAGTAAAGATTTTCATTCTTACTCAGTGTCTGCTCAGTTACCTTAAAAGCTTTTGTTTGCGAATTTTGACAGAATATTTTTGGAAGTTCAGATACACTTTATTGATCACGTTCATTGACTCATTTTTTATTCCTTTATAGAACTTCAGTATCAGAAGATAAAATTTATCTTCCTTGTGGCTTCAAGGCCATATCAGACTACTTCATAATAAATCATACTTACC